GAGGGCGCCGCGGCGGGCGTGCAGGGCCCGGTTCAGCCGCGCTGTGCCGTGCCGGGGCCCGGGTCCTGTAGGGCCGGGGCAGTACGGTGTGGTCCGGTCCGGACGGTCCGGTCCTCGTCTGGGCCGTGCGGCAGGGAGAAGCTCGGTAGCTGCGGCGCCGCCGCTCCGGTCCGGTCTGTGCGGCTCGGCCGCGGGCGGGCAGGCGGGCGCCGGGGGGCGGGGCGGCGCCGGCCGGGCCACGCCCCCAACCCCGTGACCACGCCGCCGACCAATGGGCGGTGCCTCAGCCCCGCGGCCCTAGTGCCCGCCCTGCTCAGGCCCCGCCCCCGAGTGGCCCCGCCCCCCACATCGGCTATCCCTGCGCGGACGGAAGCAACACCCGGAGCCGGAGTTCGGGTCGGGTTTCGGAGCGGCTGCTAGGGGCGGTCGGGCCTGCGCCCCCACCCGGGATCCTTGCTAGCTGGGGTAGCCGAGGCGCAGCTGCCGCGGTGGATGGCGCGAGGGGAGCTAGCGTCCCCCACGCTATTCTGGAGGCCGGGAAGGGCGCCCGCCCTACCCACCCTGCTCCCGGGGCTACATCTCCAGCTCCCAGTACATTCGGAGCCCCGCGCTCCGCTAGCCTAGCTCCTGCGAGCTCCCCGCTTACACCCGGCCTGGGGCTCCCGGGAGGCGGGGCGGTTGGATGGGGGTCCCCGGAGCTGCGCGATCCGGGTCTGGTGTCCGGGTTCCCCTCTCTGGGAACCCATCTCCCCAGGCCACTACCTCCCCGGGCTCTGGGATCAGGACTCAGCCCAGACCCCCACTGCACCCCACCCCCGCTGTCGCTCCCCCGCGCGGCCCCCAATACCCGGCGGACCAGAGGGAAGACAGCGGTGCTCTGGATGCCGGGCCTCACCGTGCCGGAGCCCGGACGCGCGGTGCCCGCTGCTCCCGCAGGCGTCGCCGCGTGCAGGAGGAGGCTAGGGGATGAAAGAGCAGGCGACATCCTAGGGACCAGCAGTGTACAAGTTGAGCTCAGCGCTGCCTCCCGCAGCAGCCCGGCCCGGACGCCGGAAAACAAGGGATCATTTTTATGTTTTGTGGGCCGCATGTCCCTCCTTCCAACTATTTTGACACCCCACTCCAGCCCCCACCCCGAAACCGGGTAAAGTTAAACCCAGAATTTGTGTCTTCTTTTTATGGATTGCCTAGCTTCCTGCGTTCCTGGTGCAAAATGCGTTATTACACGATATTAGCATATTAATAAGGGGAAGGGAGGCGGTACTCGGATTTTACAAGCAAAGCTGGAATAAGCGAATTGCATCATGAGCTCAAAGATAAGCATGTTGGAAAGAAGCGTTTCCACTACCACTGCCCCAGTGAGCGCACCCTCTGCGTCTAGGAAGGCGCAGCCCGCCGGTGGGGTGGGCGCCTGTGCGCATCAGCCTGCAAAGGGGTCCGTGCTGCCTCCCCGGGGGAACGCACAGGTCCCACAGCCGAGTCCTAGGCAACTCGCATGTGGGAAAGCTTGGCTCCTTTAATCCAATGTCGCAGTTCTTAACTCAGTGGCATGTCTCATGCTACCAAAGGTAGGAAGGTTGTCACACTGAAAAATACTCCACAAACCCGACTCTAGTTAGTTTGGTTCATGTCAAAGCCCACACTGTAAAAATCCCTTTGGAAAACTGTAAAGCTTTTAGTCTCCTTGGCCCAAGCAACTCATATATCGTTAGGTTGGATATGGATTGCCTAGGAATTACAGCCTTTTGACATAGACCAAGATACAAATGTCTTAAAGGTATTTCAGCTGTGACATAATAGAGTACAAGGAATGCAGAATAAAATATACAAAGTGATATATCTGTTATTTCTAAAGAATCAGGTCGGGTTTTGCTAGGAACTAAGAAATATTTTAAAAATTGCCTTTTCTAAACCAACTGTTGTCTGTCTCCTCATGAAGATACAAAGAAGACAGGCCACCAGTTCTCATTTTTTTATTAGGGTCAAGGAGAACTAATCCTGAGAAACACGAAGTCTTGAAATATCCACCAGGGGGCCCTATAGGCATCTCAAAGAGGAAGCCTGAAACTATTCCACCCCCCACCCCACCCCCCGGGGGGGGGGGAATCTGGTCCGTTTTCGGTGCCTGGAATGGAAGTGGAATGAGAAGATAAGTTAAGAACATGATCTGGAGACGATCCGGTGTTATGTTTAAAACACCTGGTGAGTCCAAGTTTGACTCAGGAGCCGAAAATTTCTTACCTCTCTAAAGAAAAATGGAATAAAGCCACTGCTGTGAGTTCTACCTTTCCAGACAGGACCTGCTTTCCTAAGATGTGAGTACTGTCTGCCCAAGGTGTTGCACCTTTTCCCTGAGCCCAGCAGTTAGCCGATGCCCACCCACCCCCCGCCCACCCCGGGCGAATTAGGTGAGGTGGGCCAGCCAGTAGGGCACAAGCCCCTGGCCTAAGCTAGCAAAGTGCTGGTGGCCCTGCCCGACCAGGCGCCCATTGCTCAGTGCTGGGCCTGGCCCAGGGGATGGAGGTGGCAGGGAGGGGTGCCTCTGGGGCCACAGGACACCGGGCGGTGTGGAGCCGGGTAATGGGAGAAGACTCAGTGAGCTTCCTGCGAAGCCTGCTTGGCCAGCATGGAAGGACTGTGGTACCCTAACAGTAGTGCTGGACTTGTCAAAGCAGCTAAATACGAGAGCGCGTCCTTTAGAAAGCTGCCCAGAATGTTTTCGTAGGCTTCACTATCTAGCAATCAAATTGTCAGGGCTTTGGAATCCTTCTCAGTCACATAATATCTTTCCCGCATCTTTGCGGTTAGTAAGGTTAAGATGCCCTTTGAGAGCGAAGAATGCAGCCGGCACTCCAGTAGCAGACAGGGAGAAGCCTGATTTTCCTGCAGCCCATGCTGGCTGGAGAAATAAAGATCTGCAAAAATACTCCATCTGAACAGGTTTCAAGTGAAAATTTAAGCACCAGGCATGGAACATTCCTTGCCATTCAGGCCAGTATGCAAAAGACATTCCTGAACAAAACAAAATACCTGCATTAGAGATTAGTAAAAAAGGAGCCACTTGCTAGCTGAAGAATTACAGAACACTGTAAAAGCCTCCAAATTAACACTAATGGAAGTGTGATTTGAACATAATTTACCGCAAAACAAAGCAAGTCCAGAGTTGAGGCATGAAACAGGGAATATGGGTAACATCTTTCGTGGTGGAATGGAAAATATTTTATGTTTGCATCATCGTGTTCATTAAGCAGGCTGGATACAGGTGTTCTCAAAATAGCATTATTAATTTCTGAAAGTCTTTTCACCGCCAACCTGAGAGCCAGCTAATTAGAGCAGAGTTGGCCAGAGCTGGAAGAGCCCGCTGGCTTTAGGCAGGAGGGTTTGTCCACGCAGGGCTCTGTAGGCCCCTCTGAGTAAAGCCTCAGAAGGTCGAAAGCTCCCCAATCACCTTATGATAAAATGCCAAAATGGGGAGGCAGGCAGGAAAAGATCAGCTCCAAAGTGGTCAAACCAAAGGCAAAGCGACCTCTTCCCCTCAGTCCTGGACTCACAAAGCAAGGGGACCCTGAGCTGCTGGGGCATGAGACCCCAACACAGAGTGAAAAAATGTCTCGAGCCTGGGTAAAGCCACCAAAGTCCAGAAGTAGAAAATGATCGTAGACCGTCCTGAAGTAGAAAAAGCTTTTGGAGCTTTTAGTGAGAAGCCCTCTTTAGAGGATCCACACAGTTGCAAGATCTCTGCACAGTTCCTACCTTTCTTCTTTCCTCCCCTCTCTGTGTAAGAGAACTATAGAACAAGACATCTCAGACCATCAGGGCAGCTTAACAAGCTCCCCAGGTCCCTTATAAGGCACCAGGGCTCCACCCTCCTGATGTCACCTCCTAAAGTCCTACCTCTAAGGACTAGTACATGGGAAGTTACGTTTCGGGGGTGGGGGTGGGGGTCCTAGTCATGGCTCTCTGCTTCCAGGAATTGCTTCCAATTAGCCTTCCAACCTCCAAATCTTCATCCCAGGGTTCACCTTCTGAGTCACCTTCTGACACCTGGGGAGCTTGTTAAGCTGCAGAAGCTGCATCAGCAGGTCTGGGCTTGGGCCTGAGAGCTTGCTTTTAACCAGCTCTGCCCCTGGCCACATCTTGGTGGGCCCATGAGTCAAGCGCCCATGGCTCACGCGCTGTACCCGATGCCCACAACTTAAAGGAGGAGGCTTAATCTGGCTCAAGGTGTCAAGGGGTTGAGTCCCTGGTTGGCTGGCTTCCAGGCAGGAGCATCATGAGAGAAGGGCCTGGAGGAGGAAGGATGCTTAGGGTATCAGGGCCTAGAAGCAGGGGGATAGCCGCACCTGAGAGAAAGGGGCAGGGACCAGCTACGGACCTAAGTCCAGGGCCCCACGACCTATCCACACATGCTTGGAGTGTGCTCTGCTGCCCTGTGGGCATTTCCAGATACAATCACAGCCACAATAGGAGACAGAAGACACTGGTGGTAGCCGGAGGCATCCTTGCTCCGTTTCCCATCCTGCAGGGACTGTGTTGATTCAGACGACTCAGAAGGTGAACGCTGGGACAAGGATTTGAAGGTGGAAAGGTTAATTGAAAGCAATTCCTGGAAGCAGAGAGCCATGACTAGGACCCCCACCACCCCGAAACTCAACTCCCCATGT